TAACAAGTGTAATATCCACTAAAGCAAAGCTTAAGTATATAACACCAACACTCGGGAGGTAAGGCTAGACGATTGCAACATCGCCCACTCGCTCGAGTACTTCGAACGGGCCAATGAATCGAGGGTGCAACTTCCCTCTCTTCCCGAATCGAATAACTCCGCGAAATAGACTAACTCTGAGAAAAGCGTGCTCACCAACCTCGAACTGGATATCTCGTCGATGATGATCGGCGGTTGATTTCATTATACTCTGAGCTGTTCTGAGTCTCTGCCGGATCAACTCGACTTGTTCTGCTGTCTCTTCGATCAGTTTTGGACCGAGTACTCGACGTTCACTGACGTCGTCCCAATAAAGAGGGGAACGACATTTACGACCATATAGTGCCTCATAAGGAGCCATTTGAATAGAAGAATGATAACTGTTGTTGTACGCAAACTCGACGTACGACAATAACGACTCCAATTTAGCACCTCTGTCAACAACCAAAGCTCGCAACATATCCTCCAACGTCTGTATAGTCCGCTCCGTCTGTCCGTCAGTCTCGGGATGGTAGGCTGAACTGAATGCTAGCTTCGTACCCATCGCCTTGTGTAAACTCTTCTAGAATCTACTGGTGAATCTGGGATCTCTGTCTGACACGATAGTAACAGGTACTCCATGGAGTCGAACGATCCCACGGACATAAATCTCAGCCAACCGATCCAAAGACATACTCATCGATACTGGCAAGAAATGAGTAACCTTAGTCAATCTGTCGACCATGACCCAGATAGCGTCGTGATGTTCAGACGACCTCGGTAACCCCGTGACAAAATCCATCGCAACCTCCTCCCACTTCCACCTCGGAATCGGCAGTGGTCGTAGAAGGCCTATAGGACTTTTGTGCTCGGCTTTGACTTGCTGACAGGTTAAAAATCTCCTTACAAAGTCGGCTACGTCTTTCTTCAATCCTCGCCACCAAAACGACCCTTTCAGGTCATGATACATCTTTGTACTTCCTAGATGGGCTAGATATGGTGCGGTAGGAGCTTCAGATAAAATCTCCTTCCTTAATGCTTTGACTTTCGGCACCACAATCCTGCCACGAAACTCCAAGGCCCCATCAGTGCCTCGGTGAAAACCCTCGACGCCTCCGGCACGAACCTTGGCATCAATCGCATGAATAAACTCATCTGAGGCCTGCTCTTGTCGGATTCTTTCTCTCAGCGTCAGCTGAACCTGCATGGAACTTACACTCCCCGTACTAGCTGTAGGAAGTGCATCAATCACCTGTATCTGCATCCGGGCAAACTCCTGGATCAACTGACTCTGCTGAGTAACAACGTATGTCAAGTCACCCTTCACCTTGCGGCTTAGGGCATCATCAACAACATTCGCCTTTCCTAGATGGTATTGGATCGTACAATCATAATCCTTGACGAGCTCTAACCAACGGCGCTGTCTCATGTTGAGTTCCTTCTGAGTAAAGATATACTGTAAGCTCTTATGATCAGTAAAAATTTTGCATTGACCGCCGTATAGGTAATGTCGCCAAATCTTGAGGGCATGAACAACTGCAGCTAATTCCAAGTCGTGCGTCGGATAATTATGTTCATGTGGTTTAAGTTGGCGTGAAGCATAAGCAACGACCTGGCCATCTTGCATAAGTACACATCCCAAACCCTGCCTCGAAGCATCACTATAGATGGTGAAACTCCGAGAAGGATTTGGAATAGTCAACACCGGTGCCATCTTAAGCCTCCTTTTCAGCTCCTGAAAACTCGACTCACAACGTTCTGTCCATTCGAACTTTACAGACTTCCTTGTCAGCTGAGACAAAGGGAGGGCAATCTTCGAGAACCCCTCAATAAATCTGCGATAATAACCTGCAAGGCCGAGGAAACTACGAACCTCGGACGAATTCTTCGGTGCTGACCAATTCTGGACTGCAGCAATTTTGGAAGGATCAACTTCAATACCTGCTGGAGTAATGATGTGGCCAAGAAAAGCCACTCGCTGAAGCCAAAATTCGCACTTGGAGAACTTTGCATATAACTTCTCACGTCTAAGGGTCCAAAGAACGGCCCTCAGATGCTCCTCGTGCTCCTTCTGGCTCTTGGAATAAATAAGAATATCATCGATGAAAACAATAACGAACTGATCGAGAAAAGGATGAAATACACGGTTCATCAAGTCATAAATACTGCCGGGGCATTATTGAGGCCAAACGGCATAACCACAAACTCGAAGTGACCGTATCTCGTACGAAAAGCTGTCTTGGGTATGTCTGACTCCTTGATTTTCAGCTGATGGTAGCCTGAACACAGATCAATCTTGGAAAACACGCAGGTATCCCTCAACTGATCAAATAAATCATCGATCCTGGGAAGCGTATATTTATTCTTGATCGTCAACCGGTTAAGATCCCGGTAGTCGATACACATACGCATGGATCCGTCCTTCTTCTTGACAAAAAGAACTGGTGCTCCCCAAGGAGAAACGCTCGGTCGTATAAAATCGAGATTCAGCAACTCTTGAATTTGGGTCTTTAATTCCTGCAATTCTTTAGGCGCCATTCTGTACGGTGCCTTGGAAACGGGTCCGGCTCCAGGGATAAGATCGATAGAAAATTCCACCTGACGGCTAGGTGGACCTCCAGGAAGCTGGTCTGGAAACACGTCCACGAACTCACGAACGATAGGAATGTCATGAGGTGAACGTGCCTTTGGCTCATCTCCAACGAGGCTCACAAGATAACCCTGGCAATCACCCCGTCGAAGGATCTTTCTGGCTTTCGCCATAGAAATAACATGGGGCAGAGTATGAGTCCTGGAGCCGTAATAAGTGATCTGATCATCTCTCGGAAGATAAAGAGTAATCTCCCGGTCGTGACATCGAATATCTGCGTGAAAATGGGTTAGCCAATCCATACCGAGTATGAGGTCAAAATCCTTCATCTCGATAATATAAGCATCAGTAATCAGAATACGGCCGCCGATGGAAAGGCTGAGATCGGTGGCTTTAGCGTCAGTCACTATCTTTCGTCCCGAGGCTAAACTCACCTCGAGAAGATCGACAGCGGTAGCGGAACGAACCCCAATAGCTTCGAGACATCGACGTGATATAAAATAATGGGTCGCTCCGGTATCAAGTAAGGCATAGACAGGCACATCATTAAGAATAATCATCCCGGACATAGTACCTGGGTGCTGGTCGGCCTCCCTCTGGTCAACTGCAAAGACACGGGCCTGCTGTCTGTCGCGTTGCTGTTGCTATGGTCGTGGTGGCTGCTGCCTGGGCTGCTGTTGTTGAGGTTGTTGTGGTGGTTGACGTTGTTGCGGCTGTTGTTGCAGTCGTTCTGGACAGTTGGTGCTGAAGTGACCTGGCTGGCGGCAAAAGAAACAAACATTCTGGCCCACGAGGCATTCTCCACGGTGGTGTTTCCCGCAGGTTGGGCATTCTGCATATGGTCTGGGACGGGTCCTCCGGTTGTCTGGGCCCCCTCAGAGCTTCCTCTTCTTCTGGTTCTTTGATGATTGGGCAACGTTAGGCTGGACTGATGGCTGAGCAACTGGCTGAGATGGTGTCTGGGCGGCTTCTCGTTGAATACTGGCATCTACTTCTTGTGCAATGGCAACTGTGCGGACGTAGGTCTGGACGCTGTGACCTACGATGTTGTGGCGGACTGCTGGGCGAAGTCCGTTGGTGAAACGATGGGCTCTCTTCGCCTCCGTACCCACAAGATCAGGTACAAAGGCTCCGAGACGGGTAAACTCTCTTTCGTACTCATCGACAGAACGAGTACCCTGAGTGAGTGCCAAGAATTGGCGCTCCATTTCTGCACGGTAATACGAGGGATAATACTTTTCTCGGATCAGCTCCTTGAATTGATCCCACGTACAATCGTCCTTCTCACCGGGACGCATACCCCAATAAGCGTTCAACCAGAGTCTGGCATCACCGGTCAGCTGGATCTGGGCACATAACATACGGTAACGATCAGGGCAGTCCATGACCTCGAAAATTATCTCGAGGCCCTGAACCCATTCATCTACTACACGAGGATCTCCTTGGCCAGAAAACTTTTCTGGTTGGTAGTCGCGAAACTGTGCGACTACTGTGGCCTGAGGACATTCCTGGTGTTCTGGATCTCTACGAGGAGGCATCTGAACATTGAAATGTTTAACATGATTAATAACATAAGAGATTAACTGACTAACTACTTAAGTACACAAATTTCTTGACGAGTCGCTAAATAACCCGAGAATACTAAAGTCGAACTATCAAGTAACTGAGACAGTTGACTATGTTCTGAAAATACTCGAGCATCTTACTGGCTTCTAGGGTTAAATATCTGGTACCCTACTACTGAGCATAGACTTGAGCATTTGTTCAAATATATATAAACTGTAACTCAGCACTTACTTGATAGTCGGCGGGGCGTGAGCGTAGCGTGGTCGGGTCATTTCTGAAAATTCCTGACTTAAAAGTATTCAGATACACAAAAATGTGCTCTGATACCAATTTGTAACACCCCGCTAGCTTACTAAAATCAGAGTGCAATTTTCGCAAATTCATTTCTAAGGTTTACGTTTTATTTTGCGAAACATATCTCGGGATGCTACATAAAATATTTCTTTTCTAAAAATCTGTTAACTTCATTAAATTTTAAACTTGTTTATGAAAAACGGTTTATCTTTTAAGAAACAAGCGTGTGATGCTGTATAAAATCTGACCCGAAGGCTCGGATCACCGTCTGAAAATTTACACGCTAGATGGGAAATCTGAAAACATCAGCGGAAGTAAAAACGTGGCAAATATGTACATATCAAGAGTCTTGCAAAAATATATGCATATTTACATGTACTGGACGGACGACCACCAGCTCCACTCACTCCTCCGGACTGACCCAGTCACCTGAAAAGGTCATAATAGTGGGAGCGTGAGTACTAAAAACACTGTACTCCGCAGAAACTCATACTAAAGTAAACATTAATAATAATATCAATATCATGACTGCAGGTGTATATAAATAAACTGTAATCTCCAGACACGAAGTCTGTACTGAACTAGCCATGTGCACTCTGATGGGCAATTAAGGCTACTGCGCCTCCACCAGAACTCTGGATGGGCAATTAAGGCTACGGCGCCTCCACCCAAAGTGGAATAACTGATATACATACCTTAAAACATGATAGAGTAATTATAACCAATGTAATACCCAGTCTGAGTTCCCACCTGTACTGATAGTGTAAGTGTTGCTGTTGATCACTCTGTAAAAATATATAAATAAACAAATACTAAGTACTACGCTCAGATTGACTGGAAATAACTGTTAAGATGCTCGACTCGATCTATATATTTAACTGGAACATTTTCGGAACTTAACTTGACCGACATGAACAACGGACTGAACTGATAATAGTAAACTGGATTGACTGGACTGAAAAATTAACTGAAACACTGTACTGGACTCGAACCGGATCAGTAAATACTGAATAACTCAAAAACCAGTCTAAACCGGCCAGTTCATTTTCTGGCCGGACCGCCGGCTCGCTGAGGCCAGGCGGTCGGCTGCTGGCTGACCACC